TGGTTCGTGTGTCTGCGGTTCGACGCTACTTAAGTGACCTTTATTTTCTGCTGAAAATCTGTTTTGTGGTTCACGATGAGCACAAAAGAACGAAGAAGCCGAAGTCTTCTGTTCGCCCCTGTCCTCAGGGGTGCGGCTTTAAGCTTCATGAGAAGGACCAGCATGAGGCCTGCCCGGCCTGCCTAGGAATCATTCACGCTCGACGGGCGCTTGTGGAGCCCGAGTCCTGCCGGACTTTCGCGTCCGACACTGGAGAGGACAGTGAAATTCCTGGCGAAAATGCTGGGGGAAACTGCTGTTTTCCYAAAAGACCCGCTGCTCTCCGAATCCAGCCAGACAGCTCAGTCCGACGAAGATGAGGATTCGGCGATCGAAGCCCCTGCTGCTAGCTGGGTGGACCAGATGGAGCACGAGACGGCCTCACCCAACATCGAGGGGGGCGAGACCCAGTTTCTACCTATCTAAACCAGGAGGACGACGATGTTCTGCAAATGGAGCAGGAGTTTCTCAGTCTGTCCGAAGACGACGAGCCGTGCCCAGCTCACTCCACCCCCGCTGCTGCGACGGTGGACCAGGATTCTTCCTTCTTGTCCCTGTGCCGCCAAGCTGCGGCTAAACTGGAGGTACAGTTGCCCGACCCCCCACCTGCTCAAAAGCCGTCAAGGTTCGCAGGGTTTTATCTCCCTTCTGAACCGGCTGATGTGAAGCACCGTCTGCCTATGTTTCCGGACTTTGTGTTGGAGCTGACGTCTTCCTGGAGCAAACAGCTGTCCATCTGCACCTTCGTGCCCGGATAGGGTCAGTACTTGGACATGGAAGGGGCAGATCAAGCAGGCCTGGTGAGCATCCCTCCGATGGAGCCATCTTTAGCCGCTTATTTGGCTCCGTCTCACAACCAGGGTGTGAGCAGGCCCACCCTGCTCCCTTCCAAGCCCTGCAGATTCTCTTCGGCTCAGCTGGAGAAAATCTACAAAGCCCAAGGTAACACCGCCCATGCGCTGAGCTCCGTCACCATGCTTCAAACCTCCCAGGCCATGGCCTTGGCTGAGCTGGCATCTCAGATGCCGCAGGAAAACCCCCTTTTACCCCTGTTGAACGAGATCAGACTGGCGTCAGACCACATTCTACGTGTGTCCCGCTGTGCAGCGCTGGCTCTGGGGAAAAGAATGGCTTCCACTGTGGTGGTGCATAGGCACCTGTGGCTAACGCTCTCTGACGTTCCCGACAAGGACAGAGCAGCCTACTTGGATGAACCTTTTAAAGCTTACAGGACTGTTTGGTCAAGCGCTTGACGTCATCCAAACCAAATTTGAACAAAGGAAGAAGCAGGCTGAGGCACTTCGCTGCATCATCCCCAGATGCGACGCGAGGCCCAAGGACCCAAGCACATGCATCTCATCCTCCTCTGTTCAAAAAAGATGGCGACGCCCGGGATTTCAAAGGCCCAGCCCGCCAAACCTTCCAGCAAGCCGCAGCCTCCCCGTCAATCAGCATGGAGCAAAGMCCCCCTTCCGAGTCAGCAGGACAGTTCAGCMGCTRGGAAGAAGAAGTCCAAGTCCTCCTAACAGCAGGAATGTCTTCACAGGGACTTCAAAAACAGAGAGACAATGTTCAGCTGCAGTTGAAAAGACATTTAAATGTTTGTGTTTCAGAAAACGGCCCCAAGAGGCGTCGACTTTCAAATGTTCAGTCTCCTCTGTTGTCCCGAAAAATAAACAAAAAACATGTAGCCCCCTCCTTGGGTGCAAATTGTGWTTTAAAATGCAAAACTTAATAAACTCAATAAACAGTCCTGAAAATGTTTTCAATGTGTCATTAAAGAATTATCATTGTGCACAAATGAACACAATAAGCTGCGGGCGACAGTCAATAATGTTGTCCCTTCCCTATCCAGAGGAGAGCAGCAGCGACACGTCTCTGACAGTAAGGCAAGTCAGTCGCTTAGCAACTCGACTCCCTCTCTGGCGCGCATGCGCACCCTCTCCATGGGTACAAAGAACTGTTGCTATGGGTTACAGGCTGCAGTTCCATGTCAGGCCGCCTCGCTTCTGGGCCATTGTAAACACATTGATAACAGARGAGGCAGCCGCCATTTTAAGAGAGGYAATTTGCATGTTGCTAACGAAGAGAGCTATTCGAGTGGTTCCAGCTGCAGAAACACAAAAAGGTCTGTACAGCCGTTATTTTCTTGTTCCGAAGAAAGGGGGTGGCCTGCGGCTTATTTTGGATCTGAGAGTGTTAAACCGGTACGTTCAAACATACAGGTTCAAAATGTTAACGCTCAAACAGCTAATTCACTCAATCAGCCCGGGCGATTGGTTTGCGACCATCGATTTAACAGACGCCAATTTTCACATAACAATTCACCTGGAGCACCAAAAGTATCTCAGGTTCGCCTTCGAGGGTGTAGCCTACGAGTATCTGGTGCTACCTTTCAGTCTATCGCTAGCTCCCCGGACCTTTTAAAAGTGTGTAGAAGCTGCGTTGACTCCTCTCAGGGAAAGGAGGGTCCGTCTGTTAGCATATCTAGACGACTGGGCTCTGATCGCAAGCTCCAAGGAGCAAACATTAGATCAGCTGTCTCAGGTTCTGTCACATATTCAGGCTTTAGGGTTTTCAGTAAACACCCAGAAAAGTCTATTYACACCAAGTCAGCAGTTTTCGTTCCTCAGACTAGAAATCTGCTCCTTATCAAGCAGGGCTTGCCTCTCAGAAAACAGAGCTGCCGCGTTTCACCGCTGCTTAGCTCAGTTTCGACTGGGATGCAAACTGAGCTTCAAAACCGTACTACAGTTACTGGGAACGATGGCTTCCATGATTTCAGTAGTATCACTCGGGCTGTTAAAAATGCACCGTTTTCAACGTTGGTCTCAGTCCCACAAGCTGTGTCTGTCTCGTCACAGACACAAAAAGCTAACAATAACTGCTTCCTGCATGACGGCTCTCAGCCCCTGGAGGGAACCCGGCCTCCTGTATAAGGGTTCTCCAATAGGGAGGGTGTCGTTTCACAAAGTAGTGTCCACAGATGCCTCCCTGAAGGGTTGGGGAGCTCTGTGCGATGGTGCGGTGGTGAGGGGAACCTGGACTCCACAACAGTCCAGGCTCCACATAAACTGCCTAGAATTGTTAGCAGTCCTGTTAGCACTGAAACATTTTTGTCTAGTTCTGGAGAACCATCATTTTCTCATCAGAACAGACAACACAACAGTGGTCTCTTAAAGAAACAGACGAGGGGGGACTTGGTTCCTTCCTGTGCTGAACCTGTCTCACACTTTTAC